CTCTAAGCGGCCGTTCAACCAGAGATGCAAGGTTGGGAACTTTCTGCAAAAGCGCCGCGCCGAACTTCACAGCCAGTTGCTCCAAGGCTTCTTTAGCGCCGCGACGCATAATTCTTGCTTCCTTTGCTTCCCTTTCAAACTTCGCTGCATCCGGATGGTCACGGCGATCTTCTTCTTTGCGGAGGGATAGAATCGATTTCTCCAGACCTGCATTGTGGTGGAATTCGGGAGTCTCGGACGTATCGACACAGCAGTATTTCACCAGGTTACCAATTACCTTGTCGACAGGGCCCCGCTTGGTAGCGGTGGTATAGTACTCCACCAGAGTAGCAACTGCAGTAGCAGATCGTTGTTGGAGTTCTGCATTCTCTTCCTTCTTGATACTGTCCATCATTCCCTTAATGATGTGACTTGGTTTCTTGGGGATATCATGCATGGCAACTAGAGCACCCGCTGCGGCAGCGAGGATACGCAGGTCCCTTGCTTCACGGACGCTTCTAGCTTCGTTAATTGCACTCTCTGCAGTTGCCCTTGTGTCGTTCAGAACCTGAAGAGCTGTGATACGCTGAGCTGGTGCCAGGCCCTTCTTCAGGCGCTCGAAATCGGGTCCAACGACCTTTTCAGCGTCCGCCAGCGAGAAGGCGCTCGGGCCAGCCTCAGCATCACCTTGGACAATGACAGCCAGAACGGGCAATCTCGAACCAGGAACATGAGCGTGGTCCCGGAAGGCATTCAGCAATGAGTGACATTGTGCACGTGCAACATGAAGGTAACATGCTATGTCGCCGTACCATGATGGACGGTCCCCTTCAATAATTGGGCGCAATTGTTCACACAGTACAGAAGTATACGGGCTGTCCGATCCTGCAATTCTGGCATATTCCTCTATAATCATAGCAGTTGCAAGCTGGGAAGTGGATGCCGAGTGCTTGAGACCGTGCAGAATAGGCTGCCAGAGGCTTGGGAGTCCGTTTTTATCCCAAAGAGAGAGCAAATGACCAAGAGCCTTTGCAGCATGGATCTTAGACCGCAGCATGGTGTCCACACCTACCAGGTCAATATCACCTTGCAGCATATGGCCATCGACATTGTGAGCTGAAGGTGGGGGCACCTCTTTCTTCTCTGCCTTGCGACCCTTCTTCTTGACCGCATCAGAGGTATTGTTAAAGGCACTTGGCGAGGACTTTGCTGGTGCAGCTGCGCTCATTGGGAACGGTACACCAGACGGCTTGATGAAGAGGGAGGCATTCATTGGGATGGGATAGCGAGGAACGCCGAAAGGAGCCACACTTAGGGTAATAAGAGGTTGGATGTGAGACAACAGTTCACCTTCTGATTTGAAGGCCCCGTGCTTGTCGAGAGCTTTGAGTAGTTCTGACCAAACTTGAAGAGACAATTTCAGAACAGTCTCATTCCGCTCAACCAGTAAATTCTGGAAAATCAGACGGAGCGCCTTGCCATTGACCCATTCATTAGTGCCATCTCCTTCTAGCTGCAAGAATGTCATGAGAGCCCGAAGAACGGCCGAGCGCACGCTCGTGATTGTATGTCGCAGGAAAGGATAGAGGCGAGGAACAAGGTTGCCAAACGACGACTCGGGGTCTACAGCTGCATTCGCTTTCATAGCATCGAGAACTTCACGGAACGTGCAGAGCTTCGCGAGAAGGTCCATCACTGATCCAGTGCTGGCACTGAGATCATCTTGCAGATTGGAAAGGCATTCCCAAACGATGTTCATCAAAGTGCCGAGCGTGTTCTGCCGAGAGGTCACGAATTCCTCTGCGATAGGAACAAGAGTTGCCGCACTCACTGCACGCACATCGTCGTCGTAATCACCCAGGCCCTTCATGACTGCCTCCAGGACACCGTCCATGAGCTTTGCATCCTTGACGAGCAAATCTTTCCGGACTGCCACCAAATACCGGAGACCGATCATACCGCCATGGCAAACTTCCCAAATGGGGCGTTCTAGTCCTAGGTCATTTTGCATGATGATCCGGTATAGGCATCTATAGACGGCGATGACGGAACGGGATGGGAGTTGAGACAAGAGAGCACCTAGTGTTTGACCTACAGTCTCTCGGATGGGAGCGACAACGTTGTCAGAGATATAGTCGCCGAAACGGTCAAGCATGAGAACGCAAAGAAGGCGACAAGCAAGATCATCCAACCATTTGCGATTCAACGTGTCATTTTCAGATCTGCTCTTCCCTCGCAAGCGCCCGGCACCAGCACCTTGAACGCGGATGACCTCTCGGAGGGCCATCGCTGCCCCATGTCGAACTTCCCAATTTGGATCAAACAGATCGACCATGAGAAAATCACACATTGGTTCATAGGGCCATGCGATGCTGGGGCCTTCGTCGGATATCTCAGGCTGAATTAGAGGCTTTTCTGGAGCGGCCTCTCCTTTGAATTCAGAGACGATCTTCGAGTCGTCATCACCAGACGGTCGTTCAAGAGAGAAGTAGTCTGGTTTCGAATCGCCGTTCCGCTCTTCTCCATTCTCTGCTTTAATAGGGTGCGGAGTCGTCACTGACGGTGTCGTAACGTCGGACGTCTTCCGCGCAGAGAGATCGACGACGCGCACTTTATTCGCACCCATCTTCGCACTCTGTTTATTTTTTCGTTTCAGTTGATTCAGTTGCCGCTTGCTCAGTCCAGACTCCTCTCCGTTAGCAGGCTCACTTGGTGTTGACACAGGAGCTGAGAGTTGATGATTGTTCTCTCGGGAAGCAGGCGTGTGAGATGGATCCTCCTTGATAGCCGGGGTCTTCAAAACTAAATCAGTGTCATCGATCAAGTCATCCTCGATATACTCCCCTGCAAGGCCCAATCGGGAGTTCAATGTCTTCTTCTGATGCTGCAACCGAGATATTGGATCCATGGCGGCCAGCGAGTATTCATATTCCTTGCCAGCACTACCTAGTAGCCTTTTTCCGTACTTCAAGATCGAGGTTAGATCCAGACGTTCTAGCTGAAGAAGTTCATCCGAGGGAGATAGTTGCGCCTCTTCAGTTTTAATCTCCACTGCGAGATCGTTATCATCGTCCGCCTTTTTGATCTCTAGGCCATCCTCTTCATTGGGGTCAAAGAGGTCGGCATTTGTGACAATGAGCCCGATCGCCTTGGCGGAAGCTGTTCTGGTATCCCATGATTTCGACTTGAGATACGGCAGGATACGCCCCAGTAAGTTGAACAGCTCATCTGGATGTTGCTTTTGAACATCTGCCAGCTGTTGGGCGGCAGTGTTCCGGATGAGAGGCGTGCTGCCCGTCTCAAGCAAGCTGTGAGATTGGTTAGCATCGACCTTCTCAGCACAAGAATAGTCAAGTATAGTGACTCACGTGACCAGACGATCCAACCTGTCCCGAGATGGTTAGCGTGGGATACTAAATATGACAGGGCTGGGCGGTTAAAATTTACCTGGAGGTCATGGCGGGCAATCACCTCTTCACAGAGAGGGTAGAGGTGTGGGGGAAAAGAAAAGATGATTGAGGTTGTATTAAATACACGATCAATCGTGAGTGAATAAAAAAAAAAAAAGGTGAAAAAATAAAAACAATAAAAAAGAAAAGAAAGTTGCCAAGCCCAAAGAGTTCCGATGACGCCTCAGATATTATAATGGGGGATCCTTCCAACTTAGTTAGTACACGGAAGGTCTTAGTCAGGAAGGTAAGGAATGTAAAGTATACCGAACCGTTACACCCACGTCACAGCCATTTGACGGATGGAACTAAAAGGGAAGACAGAGACGGGGGGGAGAAAAATAAGTAAATGTAGGACGATCGATCCGACAGAGTGGAGAATTAAAGTAAACCTGAAGAAAAACAAAAATAACAGAAACTAGATGAAGCGAGTTTCACACTATTAAGTCGATCATCTGTGAGGCCCAAAGGTATTAAGAAAATAAAGACCATAAAGAAACTTTTGAGCATAAAGACAGAAGTAGACAAAAATGATAATAATAATAATAAAAATAATAAGAATAAATATTAATCCCAAAAGTGGAGAGGGAAAGGGAGGTTGTCGGTGGTGGTAGTAAAAGAGCCGATATTAAAGTATGGGCCGTCAAGCTCCCAGGAGGTATCAACAAGTCGTTCCCGTCGTGCTTTCGTTTTCCCCCTCGAGGTCACGCAGCCTGTTTATATCATTGGGGGCATCTTTGGCTGGGCGCGCCTACCCATGCTTGGGCCCTGTACTAACCCCGAACCGGCTTAGATGCCCCACTCCCGTAAAGGTTTTCTTATAGTCACGTGATCCTCCCTGCGCCAACCTCACGATCGACGGCCGCGAAATTGCTGCCAATGTCCATCATCATGATGAGACTCGCGGCCGAAGTGATCCGTGGGTTTTTAGCTGCAGGTACCACTATATCCTTATTCCTACGACCGGAAGGTCTCGAGTTGATCGCAGATATCCAAAGATCACAAGAAGTAGAGTGTCCACCGGGTCTTTTCTCGTTCCCTACCCGTATGAGTTCTCCGTAAGCTTGTGTCGATTTCCCCCAAACATGCCAAGGAATGCCAGATGGTCTCATCGTGAAGGAAGGGGATTCTTTTGTCCACTCACACGTCGACCGAGAGACGGCCCAAATACAATTCCTTGTCCCATGCGAAAGCCTCCCACGCGGTGGTGACCCTCCAAGGTCTGCCTCAGGCGATGACTAGTACACGTTGCTTGATTCTCCAATCAAACGGCACCTAATTTAGTTTATATATATAATCTGCGGAGTACTTGGCTCTTTGCCCTTAACATATTTAAAGTACAACCCTCACCGTCCTAATGCTTCACTGCCACCTACAATACTCTATACTGGCATACTAGGTCTTTCTTGCTATTCTCATATGGGGAAATCGAGTCTACTACCTCGTACATATCTAAACCTAAAAAAACAGTAGCAGCGGAAGCGATCATCGTGTCGTCCCGGAACACCGGGTTGCGGTGATTCACAGCATTTACCAGCAGGCATCACACTCTGCAATCCTCGTCGAAAACAGCGCGCATAATAGACTTGTCCATTTCTATACACTGAGGGACTCCAAGTAGGAAAATAACAACACGACATTGGTGGTGGTAGTAAAAACAACAAAAACAGAACCGCACCCCTAGTGTGCTCAAAATCCCCTTAAGCCTTCGTCAGTAAAGCAGACGCCTCTTCCTCCTTCCCTAGCAGCCCCAAACTGCGAATCTGCTCTGCCTTGGGCGCGTTCTCCCGGGGGTGCGCCGCTTCGGCCTTCCGGTAGGCGGCCTGCATCTTCATCGTTCGCAAAGCCTGGAGGTCCATGATGTCAGAATATACCAGAACCACATATAAAATCACCAGGACATTCGACTGCATCGTGAATTGACGAGCAAAGTGCCATTGTGCAAGGGCGAAACCCTACCTCTTTTCTGTGGTGCAGGCACTCGTAGTAATCCTCCAAAGCGGGCATACACTTCTTCTTGCCGGTTTCACCATCGCCGGCATTGACGACGTAGCAGCCGAGGACTTCCTGCCAGAAGTTGTAGCAGCGGGAAGGACCTGTGGGAGAACGCAAGTATTAGCCGGGGAGGGCTATCGAAAGAAAGGTATCGCGACCGAGCACCACGAAACCATAGCCAATTGTGACCGCAATTGCCGCATCAATTATTATAAAAAGAACACATACCGCCATTGAGACCGAAACCCGAAGCCATTGTGTGTTTGGTGGTAGATGAGAGGAGGGGAAAGCGAGCGGGCACAGCGTGTAGGAGCGGAGGTCAGGATGCGATGAGGTTCTTCCGGTCGATTCGCCGCTTTCCGCCCAAGTTGGTCCGAGCGTCAGCGTTTGACGTCTTTACTAAGTATTGCTCCCGACCACATCACCCTCTTTATTTTCCCTCATTTCCCCCGGCGAATGAGCCGCTGTTGAACGCCATGGCGATTTCTGGTCGACTATCCGGTGCCCATGCGATTCTTCTAGCTACCCATCTTTGTGTTACTGGGAATGTCTCCCGCTTACCACAGGTCCAAGCCCAATTTCCAGGCTATCTTCCTCTTGAACGAGTCCTTCGCATCATCTTGACCTTTCTACCGGAAAGCACAGCGCCCCAGTCTTACACGCCGGTACTCCAGGAGCTTTTAGATGGTCATCGGTCGCAAACGGACGGCGACGATATCGATGTTTCTCCTGTCGACAGTTTCTCTGAGGCTGCAGCCAAGAAACGTGTACGGACGCTTCGTTTACTACCACTCAAGTACCACGACGACGAAGACAGTCAAGACCCTGCTGACCTTTTAACTCAATTCCTCATACATCGGGCGTATCGGATAGATCTGGAAACCGCCCTCCAACCTCTTATCCTTGAGCTTCTCTTACCTTTCTACCAGCGCTTACCGACTGTGCGGACATGGTTCATCTCTAGCTTACTACCGGTACTCCGACTCAACTACGAATATTATCCCAGTCAGGATGAGACATTCTCTCTGGACCTTCTAGAGTCGATGGACAGCCACACCGCGATCAATGTACTTCTTTCGATGACGGGTGCTCAGAAGAACAGCATGGATTTAGTGAACAACTTACGCGGACTACTTGGCCCGTGGATGTACGGGAGCAACCGGTCGAAAAGGCGTAGACTTAATCAGGCTGCGGAGGCCAACTCCATCTCCCTTCCTCAAGTTAACACCCAACAGCAGAGTAGTAACATCTCTGGATGGCAATATGTGAACGAGTGGCTGCTGGCGCGAAGCCTAGTGGATTATGAGAGCACTGTGAATGCCTTCCTTAATTGGGATGGTCCAGAGGATACGGACCTTGGAGGCTTTGAGGAAGAAAATGAAAAATATAATCACGATGTGTCGAAGGATCTGAATATTCGATACGGCCAATCGGGACTTGCTGTTATCTATACGGCTTCCGATACAGGCAAGTCTTGTCTAGAAGGTTCAATCAAGGTCCTTTCGCGAGTTGCCAAGTTGTTGAGTCTTGAGGATCAATTGTTCACCTCGCCAAACAACTCAGCACTTCCTTCGGTGACGTTTGATGCATCTCAGATCTCTTCGTCATCGAGGGTGTCCCTTTTGCAGAACGCTTTGTTGGTGGCATCGAACCCACTAACATCCCCATCTGCTTCCTCTATATCGTTCCTCAGCGCCATCCTCCTCTCCATCAAGACATTAGCCGAACTCGGACATTCTGTTACTTGCCGAACAGCTGCCAACATTTGCCTTCATAGTAGCCAGGATACGCAACTACATGAATTGCGAAACGTTGTGTCTTCTATTGCACGACAAACAAAATTTAGCCATGACTGGCGGGACGTTCGCCAGCAGATTCTCTGGCTGCAGCATTGGGGCTCGGACAAAATGGAAGGGAATGAAAGTAATTCACCCTGTCATGGCCTTTTTTGGAGGGTCTCAAGAGATGTGGTGGAGGCAGAGATCTTGAAGGCATTGCTAGAGATCAAGGGTGAGCAAAAATCTATCCCAGCTTTTATATTGTGGAGACTAATCAGTATAGAATTCAACTTGGCCGTTGATATCTATATAAATTCCCAAACTGCCCTTAGCTCAGCCCAAGTTGAAGAAGCCGTCAAAGAGGCCATCTTCACAACTTATGACAACGCTAGCAATGGAAACAGAACTAGGGGAGGCATGAAGCGAGCGTACGATATGTAAGTCGTGGTACAAATAAACACCAGGTCGACCCAGGAGCTAACTATTATCCGCAGCTTGCAAGCCTTCCAACCACACTTCCCGGAATCTGTCTCCTTCAAGGAGATTCGTGCCCTCATATCAGCAACTCATGCTCTATCCTTCTACTCCCTCACTTTGCAACATGGTGTTCCTTTTCAACCCGTCAGTATCCGTGTGCACCCCGACCCCCTTTCCTTGATCGAGAAGGTGCTTGATCAAAACTCAAAAGCCTACACGAAGGTGGACGATCTTCTCGCAATCGGAAGAAATCTGGTTGCGGCTGGTTTTTCGTCTCGCCTTTCCGATAGCGACGACGTAGACCTTCCGCCTACTTCTGAGGAGGATGCTGTTGTCACAGCCGAGCGACGTATTATGTCGCTCGCAATTTCGTCAGCTCTCTCGTCCAATGATTTCGGCACCGCATATTCTTACATCCTCACGCGTCTCACTCCTCCATCTCTCTTATCCACATCCTCACCCCTTACAAATCCGGCCGTAAGGGATGACATCTCCTGGCGTGCTGTCTACAATGCTGGCCGGTACCGTGACCCTGCGCTGTCCTCCTCTTCCAACCTCCAGGCCCAAATAACCCAACTCTCCCAACGAATGGAACTTCTTTCTCTTGCCCTGATCCTCGTCCCTTCTCCCGACCCACTCCCTGAGATCCTTGGCGCCTGGCGACGGTGCGACGAAGAGATGAACGGCCTTCGCGCACGCGAAGCCGAAGAGGAAGAACTATGGGACACCAAGGGAGACAACCTCTCATCTGTCCCTGGCGGCTTCGGACCAACTGACAGCGAACAAGACGCATATGAAACAAAGAAACAACATGCCAGACGTGCTCGAGCCCATAACGACCGCCTCAACGCTGAAGAAGCCCCCATGGGCCTCTTCGAAGTTGCCCGGGGCGCCGCGTTAGCCCTCCACAAGAACGCGTTCCCGCTCAACGGCGCTACCACGACTGCCGACCAACAGCCGACGTCATCATCTCACGCTCGTGGACTCAGCGAGGACTCCACAGAGGAGAGAGTGCGTAAGCGAGATGTGGTCAGTAACATGGTAACAGGCGGATTAGTCAGCGGTATCGGATGGGTCTTAGGTGCTCAACCAGTGAACCGCTAAGACCATACCCCCCGATTTTCATAATGAGTACGACGATGGTTTTTGTTTCCTCTGGCGGGTCTTTCAATAATGCTTCCATTATGTGATATCCTGTACAAGCGGCTTTGCGCGGTGTTTCTAGCAATTTATTCTAATCATCAAAATACATATTCTCAACTATAATATTGACATAAATCTATTGAGAATTGGCGCCTGAATATCAAACCGATTTGCATGGGGTTTGGAACGATGTATTTTATATATTGGGACTTGGTACATTATTGTGCAGCAGGGCGAAGGTAGCAAGCATTATATATATTCCGCTAGAGTGACTTGAATCAAAAGACGTGCCAGAATAACCAAGAGCAGAACCTACGTCAGACTTGGTCTTGGAAATGCTTGTCAGGGCCTTTCTTCTTATTTGGTTATTGTATCCTTCGTAATATGAGAGTTGGACCAGGGATATGAATTGAACTCAATTTCTGACTAGTTTGTTAAGTACTACAAAATATTTGATTTTGATTGATTTTTTAGATAGAATGCCCGAGGTAAAGCAACTTCCAGTACAACTTTTTATCATATATATATATATATATATATATATCTCTCTCTCTCGTTAGTCGTCCGATAACTTTCGGTTATATAGAATGTTTGATATGGTGTGTGAAAGCCATTTACTGAGACATGGCTCCTGAAGACGCGAAGAAAGTTATAAGAGAAAATGCTGATGATATTCTGCGCTACTTCCTGTATGCAGTATAATCTGCCGATATACAGAGGATCTTTTCCATCTCACAGTTGCTATGCTCTTGGATAACAGAATCAAAACAAACCAATGACAAGCTTATACAATATGTATGTGCCGAAGAAGAGATGAGGCTCAGAGAAAATACGAGATGGTATGAAAATAAAGACAAAAACACCTGAATAGCAACTTCTCCCACTCGTGTCCTAAGGGAAGCAGCAATAAAACAAGGGACGAAACCGAGAAGCGTCAGCACCGCTGGCCGCTGGCAGTTTTTGTGCAAAGAAGACTCGGCTGGCGACAAAGCCGAGGCTGAGAGGGCGGATACAACTGCCCGTGATGGATCAGCAAAAATAAAGGAAAGGCATGCATGATCAGGTAAAAATCAATCCCAACTCCATGAGTCCAGTAACGATAGACGTTGCAATGCGGCAAATGAGCGTCGTCATAATCACAAATCGTATGCTTTTGACAACCTGGTCAACCAACGGCCAGCCACTGGTAAGCGTAAGAAGGGACCGTAAAGATGCGATATATTATGATGAAGAGTAGCAATTAGAGGCATGGAGGGAGGTTGCAAAGGAATGAGTGGTGCTGCGGAGAAAGTTCTAGTTGTCCCAACCCCACACCTGTCGCACGAAGTTCGCCATGTTGACTTTTTTGTTTTTCATGTCCAGCATCCAAGGATGATCCAGCATCCGCCATGGAGTAGCTCTTCGTGGAGGCTCTTTCTCGAGACTAGCAAAAAGTTAAGTCCTCCGCATGGTCAATGCTAATACAAATGGGGTCACATACCAGCATTCTATAAAGTACTTGAAGCTATCAGACCAGCGAATACCGTTATCCGGCTCATCTTTCAATTTAGGAATCGGTTGACGGACAATGTATGTAAGGAGGTCGATTAACCCAGCGCGAGGCTGCATTTCAGTCCCATCGGCTGGGAAGGGGAAGCGATGCTGGGCGACTTCAAGGAGCGTTACGCCTAGAGACCAGACGTCCGATGTAATCGTATAAGATTGACCAGTGATCCGTTCGGGGGCCATGTAGTAGGAAGTGCCAATGAATGTATTGGCATCGCCCTTGGTGCCGAACTCTCCACTAACGCCAAAATCGCATAGCTTGACCTGTCCGTTGCGGCACAAAAGAATATTCGACGGTTTGATATCTGCATTCTGGTTAGTGCGTGAGTTGAATTGATCATTGTGAGCAAAATGAACACACCTCGATGAATAATCTTTCTGCTATGCAGATATGTTAAACCGTTCAATACC